CTGGAAACTCCCTCTACATTCTCTGGCTTTCAAAACACAATGTAGTGCTTAATTAATTCTTTATTGCTTTGCATTTAGATCAGCTGATTCCTTTGCGTTTGTCTTACTTAATTGTGCCTTTAACAGGCTGGATCTTACACTTTCTCCCTTTTCTTCACATTACCTAGCACAGTGAAGGACTAAATTCAGTTCAATAAACAGGAAAATGCTTAATTCCTGCTTGCAAGTGGTTGTACTAGTTGATGATGAAACAAAGACAAAAACTAAAGAAGTCTTGCCTTCAGGGAGTTTACATTCTCCTGGGTGCTGGGGGGAATATGTCATAGACAAGAGAAAGAACTGCAAAATGTTTACAAAGTCATTTTAAAAAGTTTCTATTGCAATTTTTTAGTTTTATTCACCTCTGTTTCAAAATATAGACCTCCTTCTTCCCTCCCCAGAGAGCTAGATTCTTCTTATCCTTTTGATTTAAAAACAACATTGAATGGAAACTGAGGAACAGAGCAGGGAAAAGGAGCAGCAAGGCAGGGACTGAACTTGGGTCCTTTCCCTTGGCTGCTCTGCAGGGTAGGAATTCTGTTATCCTCCGAGCTACCTTCTCGTCCCCTGAAATCCCTACACAGAGTCTGGTCCTTAAAATTAGGCACAGATTTGATCCCAGAGGCTCATAAAGTAGGAAACAATAATAGAAAGCAGCATTGAAAGGAAAGAGTGTCAGGTGTGGTGTCAGAGGACCTGTTGGCCACTTAATTAACTTTATGACCATTTCAAGCAAACCCCTTCCCCTCTCTGGGACTCTTTTTTTCACCTATAAGACAAAACAAGAGGGTTGAACTGGGTTGTGTCCAGCTCTAATTGTGTGAGCCTAGCATGGGCTTATAGGAGGGAAAGTGAGCTGGGAACACAGCTGTGTGATAAAGGAATCACTTTATAAAAATAGCCCCTCCTAAATTATAGGCAGAGTCAACTCTTAGCCGTCTCAGAGAGGCACAGGGAGCAGATGGGGTGGGGGCAGCTAACACCATTTAGGAAGGACAACGATAAGCCGGATGGGGTCCACCAGCATGGTGAAGGGCCTTGGGATCATGCCACATAAGGATCATTGGAAGGAAATGGCTCCATTTTGAGTCAGAGAGAAGACTTGGAGGGGAGGGAGAGGGACTCCGTAGCTGACCACTATTTAAAGGATTTTTAAGTGGCAGACAGAAGAGACTTGTTCTTTCTCACCCCAGAGAACAGACCTAAGAACAATGGGTGGAAGTGGAAAAGAGGCAGATTTAGTCTTGATGTAAGGAGAGACTTCCTACCAATTAGCGCTGTCCCAAAACGGAATTGGCTGCTCGAAGAAGTGAGGGGTTCCAGTTTACTAGTTCTCTTAAAGCAAAAGCTGGATGGCGACTTGTTGGGTAGTTAAAGGTTAGATTAGATGGCTTTGAAAGCCCTTCCAACTCTGATTCTGTGATTTGTGCTGCCGTGACCTTTGGTTTGTCACTGAACCTTTCTGAAACTCAGTTTCCCCCTCTGAAAATGAGGTTGGATGAGATCTTCTCTAAGGTTCCTTCCAATTCTTCCAAGTCACAAGAGCATAGATTTAGAACTAGATTCCCATTTTACATATGAGGAAACTGAGGCCCAGTCAGGTTAAGTGACTTTCCATACAGGTCACACAGATCAGGTAAAAATCATCAGAGGTGGGATTTGAACCCAGGTCTTTTGATTTATCCTGAAATTTGATACAAATAGGTACAAAAACCAGATTCCAAAAATGAATGATGAGCTTACAATAAAGCTCTTCCTCAGGAGAAAGTAGCAAATGGTTTCATTTCCCCATTCTGGCTTCTGCTCTTCCCTGTACTCTGCCCTGGTGCTCACCCCAAACCTCCCCTGGGCGTATTTCCATTCCCTAGTTCTAAAACTCAGACCGATAGAATTCATACCTTAGAAAAACTCTACCAACTTTTAAAAAATAGCTTGTGCTTTAATATTAAATTATTTTTCAAAGGCCTTTCCAAATAGCTCATCATGAGCTGGAGAAACAGAGATAATAAAGTATCAACGAATTATTTTTTAGACTTTTAAAAGAATCTGTTTCTGTAAACTGAGGGATATAGAGAACTCCAGGTATAGGAATTCCTTCCTCCAATTCGACTGGGCAGATTTGTCTTTAACAGAGCCTTAGTTGTTCTGGCTTCTAATTGGTTAAATAACTTGGCTCTGGTCACTCAGCCAGTGATGCTATAGGCAAGAGTTGACACAGGTTATCTTAACTGCAAAACAGGAGTCAAGATTAAACATCTATCTAATATTTCCATGTTGTTATTCCATCATGTCTGACTCTCCATGACCCCATTTTGGGGTTTTCTTGGCAGAGATACTGGGGTGGTTTGCCATTTCCTTCTCCAGCTCATTTTACAGATGAGGAAACTGAGGCAAACAGGGTTAAGTAACTTGTCCAGAATCCCACAGCTATTAATCATCTGAGGCTGGATTTGAATTAATAATATGTGCGTATGTAAATATGTATATAAATATGTATGTGTATATATATACACATATACATATACATATATAGAGGCGGGGCTTAAGAAATACTTGGGTTGAGTTATAAGCTGATAGAAGGGAATAAGCATTTATTAAAGTGCTTACTGTGTGCCAGGCACTCTGCTATCAATTTACAAATATTACCTCATTTAATCCTCACAATTACCCTGACAGGTAGGTGCTATTATTATCCCTACTGAAGGTTGAAGAAACTGAGGCAAGTAGAGGTTAAGTGACTTGCCCAAGGTCACACAAGCTTCTGAGGTCATATTTTAACTCAGGTCTTCCTGATGCCAGGTTCAGAGTTCTATCTACTTCACCACCTAGCTGCCTCAACATGTCCTCAGAGCACATCCCTGACCTCAGGGAGCTTGAAATCTTATCAGCATAATAGTGACCAATAATATACATTCACATGACATTTTTAAGGTTCTAAAGTCCTTTACGCCCTTGGTGAAGGAGGCATAGGCATGATCCCCCATGTTAAAGAAGAGAGAGTTGACTCAGAGAGGTCTGTTGACTTGCTCAAAGTCACACAGCCAGTAAGTTCAGAGCTGCCACTCAACTTAGTACTTGTTTCTGATTTTTTCTTTGGCACTGTGCTGGACTTCCCATCCCTGACACCACAGAGTCGAGAAGAGAAGCAGAGTGCAGGAAAAAGAGAAACAGATTGGACCTGAAGTCAGGCAGACCTGAGGTCAAATCTAGCCTCAGACACTCACTAGCTGACACCTAACCTGCCTCAGTTTCTTCATCTACAAAATGGGGATGATCATAGCAGCAATTATTGGTTGCTGTGAAGATCAAATGAGACTTCCCCCCCAGAGTCAGTGTAGCAAATATTTTTAATCACTTAAAAAAAAACCCAACAACCCCAAATTCATAAATTAGCTCAGGAAGAGGTTTCCCTAGAGAAAATAGAAATTAAACTTGGCTTTTCTTTCTGTTACAATATACAATTTTTTTCCCTCATGAATTAGGTACCTTGCAGATATTAATAAATAGCATTTATATATCACTTTAACATTTGCAAGGCACTTTACATACATTATCTCATTTGAGCCTTGTGCTACCCTGCAGGTGTTATTCAAACGAGGTATTTTTTCAAGTGCTTTGCAATCCTAAAACACCACACCAATGCTAGCTATCATTATTCTCCTTCCTACTTGGGTGACCTGGGACAAGTCACTTTCCTTCCTTCTCTTGATGAGGATGGGATTTCTCATCTGCAAAACTGAGAGGAGGCTGACTAGAACTGGACCCTTCCAGTTCTAAGCTTATGAGAGGGTGTCACACGCGAATCGAATTGGGAAAAAACCAGAAGTACAACGCATAGCACAACTGAGACGTGTTCTGGACGGTCAGTCAGGAAGGGGCTTTTGGGAAGGCGCCACCAGTGGGGTGAGACTGGAAAAACTGCTTTTCAGTCAGACAGTCCGTCTGTCGGTGAGAGGGCACTCTGCTCAGAGCTGACTGTAACTGATCAGATTCACGTTAGCCAAGGCACAGAAGCTTTCCCAGAGCCCGCCCTTTGCTATCTAGCTCCCTCCTTTTCCTCCAATGCTTTCTATTCTATAACACTTTCTAGATTAGGGTTTTTTCCTACTACTCATAAAAATAGTATCTTAGTTTTAGGAGTAACAAAGTACTTTTCTAACCATAACCCTGGGAGATAGGTACCTATTTCATTTTAATACCTATTTCATTAATGAGTCAGTAGTCAATTAACATTTATTAAGCTCCTACTATATGCTAAACACTAATGAGAAAACATTCAGAGAAGTAGAGCAACATGTCCAAGGCTACAGAGCTTATTGGAGCAAGAGTTGGAACCATGGAGGACAGCTAGATGGTTCAGTGCATAGAGTGCTGCCCTGGGGTCAGGAAGACACGTCTTTCTGAGTTCAAAACTAGCATGAGACACTTACTAGCTGTGTGACCCTGGGCAAATCACTTAACCCTGTTTACCTCAGTTCCCTCATTTGTCAAATAAGCTGGAGAAGGAAATGACAAACCACTCCAGAGTCTTTGCCAAGAAAACTCCAAATGGGGTCATGAAAAGTGGGACATGAATGAATAATAACAAAAAGAACCCAGGGTTTCTTCTACTGACTCAGCATCCAAGGCTCTTTCCATCCTCCGGTGCATGGTCCCTCTGCCTACAAACATCCTTCTTCCCTCTGGCTTCTGAGTCTTGGGTCACTCCTGTTCTCAGTCTCTAGTCCAGCCCTCTCAAATCAACATTCTTCTATTGGTCAGTCTGCCAACTCAAGCTACAAAAAATCTACTTTGGTCCAGGTGAGCTCACCCACAGCCCTGGCCAGGGGGAGGGAAGTCTGTGGTTTTCCTAAGAGTAAAGGAAAGCTTTAATCTTCCCTAAGAGTATGGGCGGGACAGGAGACAGAACTGGTCTGGCAGGTCTCAGACCTTAAAAGAGAAAGCTGAGTTCTCCTTGTTCTCAGCCTTACATATCAGCATCCTTTCTGGCCGCTCAGCTTTCGGATGGTGTCTGTCCTCATCTTTGTTCTCTGTTGTGAAAGCCACAGTCCAGCCAGGGTTCAAGTGCCCTGGGCAGAAAGACTCTCCCTCCATTTAACACGAGGAGAAGAAGCCTGTGGACTGGAAGGACCACTCCCAAGGCAGGTGGAGGACTGCTAGAGATATCAGACTGGATCGGGAGTATGGACACCTGTGGTTTGGTCTCTGCTCTGCTAGTGAAGAAACTAACACGCCTTGGAAAGCTGCCAATCAGCTGTCCTACAGATTGACTTAGCACCCTTTGAAGATCACTTCTGAATATTGGCTGACTTTCCCATTAGAATGTAAGCTCCTTGAGGGAAGAGGCTGTCTTTCTCTCCAGAAGCTCTTAGCACAATGCTTAGCTCACAGTAAGCCCTTGATCGAAATGTCTTTCTTTCTTTCCTTCATTTACTCCTCATTGTCTGACATGGCCACCACCCTGATGCCCGCCAGTGTCACCCCACACCTGGACTTGTGCAATAGCCTGAGGCTGGGGGGGTCTTTCTGCCTCAAGTCTCTCCCCACTCCCGTCCTGACCTCCCTGGCTTCCTTCAAGATTCAGCTTCAATCCAAGCTTCCCTCACCATTTCACTCCTTCTTTCACTCATTCCCTCTGAGATTACTTCCCATTTACACTGTATGTATTTTCTATGTGCCTTATGTATACATAGGTATTTGATGCTGTTTTCCGCTTTAGAAAGTGAGTTTTCTGAGGGTAGGGACATAGTAAGTGCTTTTTAATAAATGCTTGTTGACTGATGGACTGACCCTGGGCAAATCATTTCCCTTCAATGGCTTAGTCTCCTCCCTAAAATGATAGTGTTGGCTTATAATGACTCATCTTGGTCCCATGAAACAAGATGATAAACCACACCTCCTTTCATTTGGTAGATAGGTGGAGGAAGATGAATGTGGAATGTTGTCGGTGCTGTTAGTCATGGGCACCAAGTTGGCTGGTTTTGCTTAAACTTTTTTCTTTGTTGCAAGGGAGGATTTTATGGTGGTGGAGGTGGGGTGCCAGATTGGAAAGTGACCTCACTCAGTGCAAGAACAAAAGGCATTGGTAAAACTCTAAGGGAAGATAGAAGGGAAAGAAGTAAAGAAAGAGAAAGGGAGGAAGGAACATGAGAGTAATGGACTCAGTGACCGGAGGGTTTCTTTCAGATCTCAAGGCTATACTCTTTTTCGCTGAATACCACACCCGTTTGGGGAGTTCTTTTCCTCATCTCTCAAATTAGGAATTAAACTAGATTATCTCTAAATTATCTTAGAGGTTGTCTAAGGTGAGGGAAGACAAGTCTAGAGGGGGAGGAGACTGGTACTATCCTGAACCACCTTCCAATGTGATACAATAGAGAGTGAGATGACTTCAGTCAGAGAACACTGGTTCAAATGCTGCCTCTGTCACTCATCCCTGTGTGGCCTTGGGCAAGTTGCTTAGCCTATCTGGGCCATCATTTCCTTAATGGAAAGATTAGGGGGGTGGATTAGTTAGATTCTTTCCAGCTCAAAATCTATGAACTTGTCATATACCTCCACCAAAATGGAAGGAGCAGGGGAAGGATGGTCTCTGAGGCTCAATGACATGATTTAACTTTGGCCTTGGTGTCCAGGCAGGGAAGGACCTGGAGAGATGCCAACGGCAGGCAGACGAAGTGACTGAAATCATGCTGAACAATTTTGAACGGGTCCTGGAAAGGGATGGCAAACTAGCCGAGCTGGAGCAGCGATCCGACCAGCTCCTTGATATGGTATGAGGAGGAAGTGGGGCTGGGATGGGAGAGAGGGAACAGGGAACAGGAGGGAGGGGCAGGAGGAATGTGGCTGAGATGGTGAGATAGGAGCATGATGGGACCTGAGTGAGGGAAGCACTCAGGGCCAGGCCAGCGGTGTGTACGGGGCACAGGGTGCTCCCTAGAGTAGGAAGATGATGGGAAAGAACACCAATGTCTTTGCAGACATTTTGCTGGGGTTACCTGCAGCCCTCGGGTTTTCCAAAGGCAGAGAAGGGAAGTCAAAGACAGAACATGAAAGGAGATTCTTTGGCTTCTTAAGTCAAAGGGGACACAAGAAACCAAGGGTCAAGGGCCAATAGGCCCTTGTTGTATTGTAGTGGAGAGAGCATTGGGCCTGGAGTCAAGAAGACTCAAGCTCAAATCCAACTTGCTGGTGACCCTGGGCAAGTCACCTCTGTCTGCCTCAGTTTTCTCACCTGTAAAATGAGAGGTTTGGACAACATGGCCTTTGAGGCACCTTATGGATTTAGATCCATGATTCTCCATGAGGGAGGAATTCAGGAATTAGGTGAGAGCTGCTGGGGATAAAGGCTACAAAGAGAACTGTGAAGAGGCTGGCCTGGATAATCTCTCAGGCCCCTGTCCCGGGTGCTGGGATCCTGCCTTAAGCTTCTTTCTCTATCCGTCATTACAGAGCTCCGCCTTCAGCAAGACGACCAAGACGCTGGCCCAGAAGAAGCGCTGGGAGAACATCCGATGGCGAGTGATCCTGGGCCTGGTCATTGGTGCTTTAGCGTTAGTCCTTCTCATCACGCTGCTCGCCATCTTCATTCCCCGGGAGTGAGCCTTGGCCACAGGGTAGGGGGATTCATCCAAGGCCGGGAGACTGTGCCAGAACTTGGGGAGAGAGAGGCCAACCCCACCCTCCCCACTGAGCCTCATGTGCCACTGGGGCCTGAGAACCATGGATGGTGATGGAGTTGGAAAAACTCTGGGGATGTTTCATGGGTGGACTTGACTCCACCCCACGCACTGTTACTAGACATTGATGCCTTGAGTCTTGCTGATCCTGAGCCCGACAGGGTCCAAGCTATTGCTGCCCCACTGCTGGACCCTACAGAGCTCAGTAAATACCACTATCGGGTAAACAGTCTCGTTTCTGTGTGAAAGGTTCAGAGTAGGGTCCCTTCTTGTTCTCCACCCAGGGTGGGCCATACCCTGATTAGGAAGTCCACTGCCTCCAAGCCCACATCCCCAAGGGACAAATTGGCTCTCCAAATTAGATGGCCTTTTCTTAGAGAATGCCCAAGGACATTGGACTTGGAGTCAGGAAAGCCCAGAGTTCAAATTCTGTCTTAGACGTACTGGACGAGTCACTTAATATCTCTGGGCCTCAGTTTCCTTACCCATAAAAATGAAAGCGTTGACTGAATGGCCGCTAAGGTACTGTCCAGCTCCAAATCTGGAAACCTAACGGTCCATCTCAGCTTGTCAATTTCCCATGTCCCAGGATTTCTGCTTTGTGCTTCAGAGGCAACCCTGTCTCGAGGGTACTTGGAGGGTATGCTCTGGTTCGATACATAGCACAGAGTTCCCTGTGGCACCCCAAAAGTTTATATTCCAAGACCTTAAGACACAATCCTTCCTCCTTTCCGAGCTCCTGTTGCTATGTGTTAGTGCCTTCTGAGAACATGAGGATGATGGCAGTCAGTTTCTTCCTTGGGGAAGTTCTAGATCTCAGCTCTAGAAAGAAGCTCAGGAATCATGTAGTCCAACTCACTTTACAAATTAGGAAACTGAAAACTAGGGAAGTCAAGTGACTTGGCTGGCAAAGTCATAAGTGGATCAAGTCCTGGGCCTGAAGACAGGATCTCTTGACTTCAAATCCAGCTTCAGCTAGATAACATCTGTGTGGCTCTGGGCAAGTCACTTAATCTCTGCCTGCCTCAGTTTCCTCAAATATAAAACAGGGATACTAATAGCACCTACCTCTTAAGGTTGCTGTGAGGATCAAATGAAATAAAATTTATAAAAAAGTACTTAGTGCGGAGCCTGGGAGGCCCCGCAGGAGGCACTATATACATTCTTATTCCCTTCCCTTCAAGGCAGTAAACAGACAAAATTTGAACCCAGCCATCAGACTCCAGAGTCAGCCCTCTGTCTACTATACAGCACTATCTCCCTGAATAAGAAGGTGGTGCTAAAGGCTTTTTCTAAATGAAAATTGTCAAATGTTTCACAAATATAAGAAGGGCCCAGGCATGGAAGTGCACACCTATAATCCCTGCCACAGAGGAGGTTGAGACTGTTGGATTGCTTGAGTTTGGGAATTCTGAGCTGTGTAGGGCTAATGTACAGCTGATGAAATGTCTGACCCAAGGCTGGCACCAATATGGGGATCTCCTGTGATCAGGGGGCCACTGAACTGCCCAAGGAAGATCGAACTGGTCAGAAATGGAGCAGGTCAAAGCATCCACGTTGATCAGTGGTGAGATCAGCCAGTGAGTGGCCCACAGTCTGCCCAGTTTGGGTGAGGTAGGGACACTGAGTCTCAAAAAACAAACAAACAAACAAACAAAACAGTCTTATTATTAAACCAATCCTTCAGAAAGAAGTGGGCTGGAATAAAGGGGTTCTTATTTTCTCTGGCAGTATCTGAGAGGAGGTGAATGGGGCTGAAAGCCTAATCTAAGGGGATCATGCCCTAATAGCTTCTGGGTAATGAGCTGAGGGTGGAGGGAAGGCCAGAAAGACCCAGGATCAGCTCCCTGATCAGATATCGGGCCACTAGACTCAGCTTATAGCCAGGTGGTATAGGAAGTTTGACCTTTCCTCCTATTTGGCTGATGGAACCAGAACACAAGGTTGCAAGTGACCTTGCAAGGGTTACTCTGATTCCCACTGAATTCTGTGAGAGCCCTGAGAGTCACCCAGGGCAGAGGGCCAAGGCAAAGCATAAGCAAAGGGCAGAGAAAAAAAAATGGAAAAACCGAGAGAGATGCTTTCAGTGGGAAGGAAGCATGCATTTGAAAACTGCTCACATAAGACTACCGGCCATGCCGTCTGCTTTGCTTGGGTCTCCTTAATGACAATTCATTTTTTGGGGGGGTGGGTGGATGTTGGTGGTTGGGGATGACCAGCATGAATTTAGCCCATATTTCAGCTCTTTGGTGCTGACACTGCGAGGGACCCAGCCTAGCCCACCTCAAGGAATTAACTGAAGATGGTGCGCTGGGAACGCCCATGAGTTTGATGCTAGAGGCCCTGGTCCAAATGCCAAGTCCCAGCCCTTCTCCTTGTTACCAGTCCAACCTTGGGAAAGTCACTTCCCTTTTCCGGGCCTCATTTCTTTATCTGTCTATAACAGGGAAATAACCCTGGGACCTCTCCAACCAGCAAGCATCCCTCTAGTTTGAGGTTCCAAACAACTTTGAATCATGATGTTCTGAAACCCACACCCACTGGAATCTGCTCTCTTCAGACCCAGCATTTTGCTGTGTCATGATGAGAATCTGAACATCTTCCATTAAAATAGAGAGTAATACGACATAAAGAAAGGACATTCAAAGGAAGCACCCGTAAAACAACACCCCCTCCAGGTTTCCTGCTCACCTCCAGCCCCTCCCTTCTTCTCCTCATGGGAGAGGGACCCAGGCGGTTATGAGTGGCCATGGTAGTTCCTAAGTCATCTTTAATAACCATACCAAGTATACTGGGCCTGTACATGTGATTTCACTGGGAACTCCCAGAAGAGGAAAATCCCTCCACTGATGCAACTGATCCTTTCTTTGTAATGTCTAGTCTCAGAATATGGCCTAGGGCACTTGTCCGGGATTATATAGTTGATATGTGTCAGATGTATGGCTTGAGCCCAGGTCTTCCTAGCTCCATGTTCTATCCATTATACCACAGTGCCTGGGATATTTTTAATATACATTTTTTTTTGCCCACATCTGAGATTTCATTCAGTATTGGAAGTCCCAGGATGGAAAAGTCCTCTAAGGATGCAGGCTAGAGTCTGTGATTTGTCTTTAATTTATATTCTTAGAGACCTGTCTGGGGCACTGAAGAGTTAGATGTCTTGCCCTTGATCAAATCGTTTATGTCAGGTGCAGGACTTGAATCCAGATCTTTTTTACTCCAAAACTAGTCCTCTAAACCCATTGTGACACAGAGCCTCTAACTACCCAAAAAGAGAATTCATAGGTAGGTGGTGCAGTGGATGGAGCCCCAGTCCTGGAGTCAGGAGGACCTGAGTTCAAATCCAGCCTTAGACACTAGCTGTGTGATCCTGGGCAAGTAACTTAACCCCAATTGCCTCCAAAAGAAAAAAAAAAGGATTAGCATGTACTATACCCCAATATATTAATAGATCTGAATTCTCTCATATGAGTTTCTCCCCAACTGGGTAGTCTGCAACTCATCCATGCCTGCACATCCTGTCTTACTCTTGTCTGCACAGGATTCGCTTTTGAATGTTTTATGGTTGTTCTTCCCATTTCCATTGGAAATTGTCATTGTGTGTATTACTGTTTCCCTAGTCCTGCTTGCTTCACTCTGCATCAGTTCATAAAAGTCTTCCTCTGCTTCTCTGATTTCCTCACATTCCTAATTCCTTATGGCACAATAATATTCTAATACGTTCATGTGCCATCATTTGTTTATCTATTTCTCAGGCATTGTGTGTCTCCTTTGTTTTCAGTTCTTGATCTTGCAAAGAGTATTGCTGTGAATATTTTGATGTATATTCTTTCTATCTTTGAGTTCTTTCATGTTAAAATCTCTGGGGCAAAGCACATAGGCATTTGAAGTCAGACCAATTCACAGCTCCATCACCAGCACGTTAGCATTCCAGTCTTTCTAAAACACCTTCAACACCACCTATTATTCCCATCTTTTGTTATCTTTGACATCATCACATCATCTGAGCTGGAAGTGAAACCTCGCAGTTGTTTAGATTTGCATTTATTTTATACCTAATGATTTGGAGCTCTCTTTCATGTGGCTGTTAATAGCTTGCAATTCTTTTAAGAATTATCTCTTCATATCCTCTGATATTCATTAAAAATTTGGCCCTTTTGTATTTATATTAGTTTCCTATATATCCTAGCTATCAGACCCCTAGCAATGGGCAAAGATTTTTCTCCCAATTGATAGCTGTTTTCTTATGTTAGTTACATTGATTTTGTTAGTGCAAAATCAAATTTTGTTTTTCAAAGGTTGTAGTATTAATTAGCACACATTCACACAACATCAGTGGGAGATTGTTGGTTCTGAATGGACAGGCCTTTGTTTCACAGGGGTTTGGGGGTCATTAAAAGAGCTTTACAATCTGCTAAATTAGATTGCAAGTCCTAATTACACAGTACATACACAGGTAATCATCCATGTTAGAAGTGTGTTAGCAAGTGGGAACATATACAGAAATAGAATAGAAATCAATGACATAACATAGTGAGATAAGTCTCATACAATATATGTACAATATATGTATCAAGGCTGTACATGAAATGATCCAATAAGTAGGTCACATGCAAGGACAGATTGCTCAATCTTTCAACTACACCATAGGGCATGGCTCTCCAATGGTCCTCTCTCTTTATAGCTAACTTTTATATAGGGCTTACTACATACAAGGCACTGTGCTAAGCACTTTACAATTATTATTTCATTTGATCCTCACAACGACCCCAGGAGGAAGGTGCTGCTATTATCTCCATTTTACAGATAAGGAAACTGAGGCAAACAGGGTGAAGTGACTTTTCCAGGGTCACACAACTAGTTTGAGGTCGGATTTGAAAGACTCCAGGCCCAGTGCTCTATCTACAATGCCACCTACCATCCTCTTTGGAGAGAATTGGGCTGAATCTGGAGTCCAGAAGACTTGGGTTCAAATCCCACTTCTGAAACTTCTGAGCTGGATAACCCCGGGCAAGTCACTTACCCTCTCTGAGACTCGATTTCCTCATCTGTATAATGAAGGGTTGAATCAGCTAGTTTCTAAGGTCCATTCCAGCTCTAAGTTTATGGGAGACAGCCAGGCAGCACAGCGGATACAGTGCTGGACTTGTCATCAAGAAAACCTGAGTTTGAATCCTGCCACACATAGGTGACCCTGGGCAAGGCATTGACCCTCCTAATGGCCTTA